AACCATAACATTAATTAACTTTTTAAAAAAAAAAAAGATGTTAATTTTATTTCCAATCAACAAAAAAATTACAAGAAGCAAAAGAGAAAAACCCTATCCAATCCCCTTTCAAAACATGTAAAAACAACAAAACTTCTCTTTAAAAAAAAAAATTATCCAAAATCTCGATCCATATGCAGTCAATCTGTCTTAGCCTTTATCATAAAAAAATGAGCACATTTGTGACTCTACCATCTGGCAACCTTCTTCGGTCCAACAGCTGCATCAACTTGACCATTTTCGGCAACAAATCAACACATGAAAAATATGAAATGAACTGATCCTTCACAACCCTATTAGCCAAAACATCAACAACCCCATTCGTTTCTCTATACACATGAAATAATTGTGAAATAGATATCAAAACAAAACATAGGTGTAGGTTCACAAAGACATAAATGCTTAAAAATTATAGAAACGTATAATTCTCATGTGATTAAGAGGCAAATAGTACAACAATTAAGTCCAAAATATTTAAACTAAAAGAACAACATATACATAAAGTAGGATTCAAACATAGAGACACACTATTGTTATGGATAATCAAGACAAATGAAGCATGGAAAACTACCTAAATAACTAGTTTCTAGGAAGCCATCTCCGCATATATAACTTATAAGAAGCAAAACCTGTTTGAAAGCTTCACTAGGCAACTAGTTCACAGCTACAAATTATTTGATCCAACGGTTGCCTAATTTAACAATACAATCATTCAATTTTTATATAATTTTGGGTCTCTCTCAGTGTACAAGATGTAAGTGTTCTTCCATACTCATACATAAGTAATCCGCAAAAAAGATAGCCAAAGAAGCTGCAACGCATATAAGCTTGCTTACTAACACTTGAATAAAAGCTCACGAATCAGAAAAATGGTTGATTTAAACAGTTTCTGGAGGGAGACCCCAAAATCGGATCAATTAAAGAAGCATGACATTTGAAACAATTTCCATCAAATCACATTGAGAGGCAAAGATCTACGAAACAGTCTTTTGAATGATTACTTAGCACATTTACACGATCCGCTGAAGGGTAATCTAGGATTGATAATTCTAATAACAGGATTCGAATAGGCGATCAACGACTTAATACAATCTGCCAATGAGCAATTTAGGGTGAATAAGCCCATTAACGNGAGCTGCAGGGGATGAGAGATTATTTTTTGGAAGGATTGCAGTTTGATGTTGGTGTTTGAACTAGTCTCCAAATGGGAGAATTGTTGATTTTTTGTGGAGTTTAGTTTGTATATGTTATCCGGATGATGACCCGACCCGAAGTAATGTTGTGTGATTTTTTAATGAAAAATTTTCTGAGGCTTAGTCCATGGAGCGAAGGCTTGGCCCCCAAGGAAAATTTTTTGGACCCGTTATATAGCCCAGTGCATAGGACATATAAAATCCGTTGTTTTGGTGATTAAGGTTAATATGGTGGATTGTACAGCCGCTCTCTGTATTTAACTCTCTCAATGGTGAAATTCCTGTAGCTTTGTGGACGTAGGCAAATTGCCGAACCACGTAAAATATGTGTCTTGTTCTTTCTTGTTTCTTATTGCTTTATATTCTCGATTTGTTCTTCGATTGTGTGTGTTTGTTAGTGGATTTAAATTGTTGTTAAATCCCAACAATGCCGGCTCAATCTCCAGGTTACTTACTTTTCTACTTCATCTCCTCACAAATACCATGTTAATCAGTAATTTTCTGGTGCTTAATGATTTGTAATGGTTCTTGTAAGGGGTAGAAATCACTACGGGATTTTAGCCCTCCACTTGAAGGATTCCGGCTGACCTGGCGGCACCGAGCCCCAGTAGCCTTTACCTCTCTTCGCCAATAGGACCCTTTCCTAAGGCAATCCCACATTGGGTAGGAGTCGTCTCCCCCCCTGCCATATAAGTGAACAATTCCTATAAGTCGTCTCCCCCCCTGTTCCAACAAATCTAGAAATTACAAAACAGGTAATAATCTTTTGAGTCAAATTTTAGCTTTGGATGTTTAGTCTAATATTAGTTTCCTAGTCTATAATGAATTTAGGGTATTTGAAATTCTAGAGTCTTTGGAGTCCTAATCCTTTTAGGATTAACAAACACTTATGGTGTGTTTGGCAATTCATGGGTGGACTGGATTGACTTGGATTTAAATTCCAAACCAGTCCAATGAAATCCCAATGGATCCGATATGTTAGAGGGATAAAAAGAAATTGTATTATCCAATCCCAGATTTGGATAGTGCATTACAATGTGGTTGGGATATGGTCAAATTTTAATTTTTTATTAAACATTTAGTACCTTTGACATAAATGGACCATTTCACCCTTGAATCCTATCCAATCCTATCTCATGTTTGGCTTGAGAATTGTTGGTTACAACTTTTTTTTTTATCATTGTTGATTACCAATTTAATATTATAAAAGATTTAAGAATGCTTATGTATTCACCAAAAATCTATTATTACACGTTGATTTTATAATACGCTCACAAATTTATTTCATCCGCCAAAGATATTAAAATATTTAGGGAAAAAAATGCCTGAATATAGGAAAAACTACGTCGTAACCTAAATTCAGATGAACCATAATTAACCATTTTTTTATTTAAAAATTAAATGAAGAAAAAATTGTTTTCAATCACCAAAAAAAAATACAAGAAGTCAGGGTGGAAAAAACCGTATACAAACCTCCTTCAAAACATGTTAAAAAGAACAAAACTTGTGTTACAAAGAAAAAATATATACATGTATGGAGGAAAACTGACAAAGCAATATCATTATTGAGCATGTATGAAGAAAAACTGCAAATTACTTTCTGCATGTGGCTTGCAAGAGGCAAGGCACGAATTCCAGTTCTCAGATGAATAGGAAAAGAGCAATATGATGGAAACTGCAAGTATACTTTATAACCCAAAATCAGAATATATAGGAAAATACTTTACAACCCAAATTCACATGAACCATAACATTAATTAACTTTTTAAAAAAAAAAAAGATGTTAATTTTATTTCCAATCAACAAAAAAATTACAAGAAGCAAAAGAGAAAAACCCTATCCAATCCCCTTTCAAAACATGTAAAAACAACAAAACTTCTCTTTAAAAAAAAAAATTATCCAAAATCTCGATCCATATGCAGTCAATCTGTCTTAGCCTTTATCATAAAAAAATGAGCACATTTGTGACTCTACCATCTGGCAACCTTCTTCGGTCCAACAGCTGCATCAACTTGACCATTTTCGGCAACAAATCAACACATGAAAAATATGAAATGAACTGATCCTTCACAACCCTATTAGCCAAAACATCAACAACCCCATTCGTTTCTCTATACACATGAAATAATTGTGAAATAGATATCAAAACAAAACATAGGTGTAGGTTCACAAAGACATAAATGCTTAAAAATTATAGAAACGTATAATTCTCATGTGATTAAGAGGCAAATAGTACAACAATTAAGTCCAAAATATTTAAACTAAAAGAACAACATATACATAAAGTAGGATTCAAACATAGAGACACACTATTGTTATGGATAATCAAGACAAATGAAGCATGGAAAACTACCTAAATAACTAGTTTCTAGGAAGCCATCTCCGCATATATAACTTATAAGAAGCAAAACCTGTTTGAAAGCTTCACTAGGCAACTAGTTCACAGCTACAAATTATTTGATCCAACGGTTGCCTAATTTAACAATACAATCATTCAATTTTTATATAATTTTGGGTCTCTCTCAGTGTACAAGATGTAAGTGTTCTTCCATACTCATACATAAGTAATCCGCAAAAAAGATAGCCAAAGAAGCTGCAACGCATATAAGCTTGCTTACTAACACTTGAATAAAAGCTCACGAATCAGAAAAATGGTTGATTTAAACAGTTTCTGGAGGGAGACCCCAAAATCGGATCAATTAAAGAAGCATGACATTTGAAACAATTTCCATCAAATCACATTGAGAGGCAAAGATCTACGAAACAGTCTTTTGAATGATTACTTAGCACATTTACACGATCCGCTGAAGGGTAATCTAGGATTGATAATTCTAATAACAGGATTCGAATAGGCGATCAACGACTTAATACAATCTGCCAATGAGCAATTTAGGGTGAATAAGCCCATTAACGCGCCATAGTAATCACGAAACACAAACACAATTGCACATCCATAAATATGTACGTATAATGACGGAGAAAGAGAGGGGGGAGGGAAAGAGAGAGATTGTAAGACCTGTTGTTCGGTACGACTGAGGCATTTGCGGACGATTTCACTTTCAAAGGCTTGTCTTTCTTCAACAGTGAGGTATTCAATGGCGTATGAGAACCAGTACCTTTGAAGTAATTCGGATTTCTTTATCGTCAACGGGTGCTTCGGGCTTCGATTTATATAGACTAGATTTTCTAGATTTTTTTTCTAGTTTCTATCCATGGCTACAAAGCCCACAGAGAGAGAGAGAGAGAGAGAGAGGGGCATACCTTCGCTTGTGAGGAGAGGCTAGCGGGTGAGCGCCGTTCACTTGTGAGGGGGGACTTGTGGGTGAGCCCCGTTCTTAGCAAAAGGGGGACTAGTGGGTGAAAATGGAAAGAAGGGAATAAAAACCCTAGTTTTCTATTGTACAGGGGCATTAAGGTAAATATGTAGATATCCTGTTGGATGCTCTAGCAATCCCAAACTTTATGTGGGATCTGAAAATCCGGTTCAGAGGGAATAATTGTCCCCAAAACATACGGCCCGAGTTTTTGAAAGCAACGAATATCCTTTCCTAAATTTTGTTGCCAAATCAATGATAAGTGGGTCCCTTGGATATTTTTAGTCCAATCCCCAATCATATCCACCTTTATCTGACATCCCAAACACCCCCTTAAGACTTGTTTGGTACATGGGACAATGAGGGATTTGAAAGATGGGTTAGAGAATAAAAGTCCACATTACACAGCAAAACTATATTTGACAACTAAACTTCTAGTCCAGGTTACCAAGCTCAGCCCGCTTTAGGATCACATTTTAAACTCAAGCTCATGATTTTTATGAAACCCAATTTTTTTTTTTGGGGAGGGGGTGATTTAGGATGGGGGTTAAAAGGGTTAGCATACAAAATGACATATATACTCCATATAACCCTATTCAACACAATCCAGATCTCTATGGTGGGAACTAACCTAGATGATCAACACAATCTTCCGGGATATCCACCGAGCAACAAAATCTTTGGGAATCTGTGTGAAACACCGAATGGGGAGTGGGAGGACGCTTCTCCTCTTCGCTGGAAACGATTGAAGAAATCAATGGGGAAGCTTGATTGCAGAGAGATTCAAGCAAGATTGTCCTCTTCTCTGCCATCGATAGAAGAAAAGCAATGGCGAGGGATGAAGTTGCAGAGATATCCTTCGCCCTATCAAGTCAATCATTGTTCGGAGATGCTTCGATTGCCCTATATAAACCCCTCCTGTTGTTCGATCGAAACACATCTAAGCCGAGGTAATTCTTCGTCTGTCTCGGTTTAATTATTCTCTTCTTTGCACAATCCGATAGCTGGGGTGGGGTGGGGTGGTTGTCTGGAATGCTGTGAAATTTGTTTTTTGTTTTTGTTATTGGTAATATCTTGACTTAATTTTATTCTCCATTTTTTTCATTTCGCCTTGGTCTTAATGTTGCAGTTTCGCATTTACATTAAGCATCTGTGAGGGCTGGGTTGGGGGTGGTTGTCTGTATTGAGCAGTGCATCACAGATTTGGAGGTTAGTGGAAAAAATTTGTGAAATATGGTGTTTGTTCATAGCTTCATGTCAACATGTTTTGATTATTCTACATACATGTTTTGATTATTCTACATACATGTTTTGTGGAAAAACCCTAGCCTTAAAATTCTGCATTCATATCAAATGGTTGACTTTAGCAGATGATTAAAGCTCCACCCTTTATAACAACTTACGTTTTTGTGTAAAATGGTGCTTAAAAAGGTTTTGTATTAGTCCAAGTCTTAGCCCAAATCTTGTATTATATGTTGGGTATTTTTCTTTGGGTTAAAAGATTTTGGTTTCATAGGGTATATGTTGAATCCATATAAGAAAATGCTCATTTGCGAACATGTTCATGGCAAAAATGCTAAACCTGCACAAAAGGTTGATACTTGATAATAACTGTTATTACCTTGCAAAATTAGAGAACTCGTTCTAAGAACCTAAATTACTTTATGTGATTTTAGATAAATTTATGGTCTACTGTGATTAAGCTTGCATGGGCTATAGGTTTTTAGGCTTGTTTATTATAAATTTTCAAAAAGAGAAAAAAAAAAGTGAACGAATGGGCTTCTTTGTAGCAGCTAGTTGCTTCTTTAAGTATTGTTAAATCCAATCAAACAAAGAATACCATCTATTTGTATTGAGTAAACATTTGGGGTCAAGCTTACCTTTTTCTTTTTCCTCTGCATTTTTATCCTAAAATGGAAGACACAGCTGCAGTAAAGAGACATGTATGATTGTTTGATGTTCTTTTTAGCAATATATATAGCTTCTAGCTATAGGGTTTCAAGTTTCTTTTTTCCAGTTTAGATCTTGATTTTATGGACAAGTGTATAGAAGTACTGATATGTTTGCATAAACAGCTACAAAGAGACGTTTTGGAGTTATATATGCGTCATCACATCGAATTGGGTGATATCATTATGTGGTAACACGATATGACTTTAAAACTCTTTTCATGTTTAATTTTTATATCTATTATTTTGCACATATAGCCCAATATGTTACTTCTTATTTTGTGTCAGCGCCATCCAAAATCAATGACCAATTCTGTAATATTCAACGATGTTGATCGTATACTCCCATATGCGTCTACCAAATGATCATAACATTGTGTTGAATTGACTTCCTTGATGAACTGAACTGGTTGTAGGAATGGTCCCATGGTCCTTCATGCATTGTGATTTGGCAAAAAACATAGTATTTTATTGAATCCCATGTCAATTATTGACCGGATAAACTCCACAAACTCTTAGCTTTAATTAGGTGAGATACCAATATCTGCTTTTAAATTGACAACTTCAATATCGATTGATTAAAATTTTCATATGTACTAGGTTGTTTAACCCTTTTTTGTCCCAACACGTTAAGTTAAGAATTGGCTTGTAATTGTGAAGGTACAAGTACACTTGAAATTTTTTCAGATGCATGGGTTTTATTTTTATTACTAGATTGATATTTGTAGTAGGAGTTTCATGGACATGATGGTCATTTGAACACACAGACATACATAGAGAAACTATGTAGTTAATGTCTTTGGAAAATTATTTTGTAATTATTAATATTTAAATGTTGGAGGTTTTTGTGGTATTCTTTCAGTGAATATGACCCGTAAACATGACAATGTAGCAGTTGTGGTTGTTTGTCTTAATAATTTAGTAAGAGAGTTTGCCATTGTTTGTACTTGTATTTTGATGGTTATGATAGCATTATGGGCAGATAAAAAATGAAAGACACGGGTATTGACTAGGTCAGTCGATAGGTTCCGTGCACAAAGTGAGCATCTGCATAGACTTATCAGAGAAAGTGATAGAACATGTGTAAAACAACTTAGGATGGATAGACATACATTCCACGTGTTGTGCTGCTTAGTTAGGGAAGTTGGTGGACTTACCAACACAAAAAATATACGTGTCGAAGAGATGGTTGCGATATTCTTGAGTGTTATAGTCCATAATGACAAGAATCGCCTAGTTAAGTTCCATTTTATTAGGTCTGGGGAGACAGTGAGCAAACACTTCATCGCGGTTCTGCAATCTGTTCTAAAATTGCGGCAATTACTCTTGAAGAGGCTTGGACCGGTTACAAATGGTTGCAGTGATCCCAACTGGCGGTGGTTCAAGATAGTCAGTACGAGCAACGTGCTTGTCATTATTTCGTAATTGAATTTAAACTGCACCTTTGTACTTAATTGTTTTCATCCTTATTGGTACTTATAGGAAGGTGTAGGGGCACTAGATGACACACATGTTAGGGCAAAAGTGCCTCCCCTCCACCAAGGTAGATATAGGAACAGGAAGGGGTGGACAGTAACTAATGTGTTGGGCGTTTGTGGGCAAGACATGAAATTTATCTACGTATTGCTCAGGTGGGAGGGGTTTGCCGTTGATTCTAGGGTATTGCACGATACTATCACATGGCGAAATGGGTTGAAGTTGGAACGTGATAAGGTCATAAATTTTTTTAGACATTTTGTGACTTGGTTAGTTTCTTCAAGAATTAAGTTTTATTCAATTATGTGCACTTGTAGGTACATATTACCTTGTGGATGTTGGGTACACAAATGGAAAATGTTTTTTGGTTCCATTTCGTGGCCAGCAATACCACTTGCAGGAGTTTGCCAACGGTGTCGCAGCNAAGAATTAAGTTTTATTCAATTATGTGCACTTGTAGGTACATATTACCTTGTGGATGCTGGGTACACAAATGGAAAATGTTTTTTGGTTCCATTTCGTGGCCAGCAATACCACTTGCAGGAGTTTGCCAACGGTGCCGCAGTTCCTAGAAACGTGCACGTGTATTTCAATTTGAGGCACACAACAGCGAAGAATGTCATAGAAAGATGTTTTGGGCTACTTTAAATGCGATGGGCTATCCTTAGGACGATTTTACCCAGTAGTAATGCACAACAAAATCATTGTTGCTTGTTGTTTACTGCATAATCTTATTAGGAACGAAATGGAATATGATCCAATTGAGGAAGAGTTGGATGATCATTCATTTGAAGATGAGAATGTGAACGATAATGATACAGTCGATAGCATTGAAACTTAGCATGGTTGGACTCCGTGGCATGATCAACTAGCGGCTGACATGTACAATGACCGGAGGTGTAATAGGGTACCTTGATGTTAGTCCGTACAAATTGTTGCATGTTTTTTAANATATGATCCAATTGAGGAAGAGTTGGATGATCATTCATTTGAAGATGAGAATGTGAATGATAATGATACAGTCGATAGCGTTGAAACTTAGCATGGTTGGACTCCATGAGATGATCAACTAGCGGCTGACATGTACAATGACCGGAGGTGTAATAGGGTACCTTGATGTTAGTCCGTACAGATTGTTGCATGTTTTTTAGTGAATTACTTTCGCCTCCTNCATGTACAATGACCGGAGGTGTAATAGGGTACCTTGATGTTAGTCCGTACAAATTGTTGCATGTTTTTTAATGAATTACTTTCGCCTCCTTTTTTTTTTGGTTAAGTTCTATTCCATGCAAGTAATGATATTAGTGGATATTTTGCGTGTATGGAAAAGTCTTTAAAACTTCTTGAAAACATATTTTGTTGGCAAATTTAACTTAATTGTAGGCGTACATGTGGATTTAATGATATTTGTAGTGGTAACATGACAAGTGTCGAGAGTTCGCAGATTAGGGGAAGTTCCCAGTTTGATAAGGGACCGAGACGAATGTGGACAACGTCTGAAGAATCGTTGCTTATAAATGTGTTGAAAGACATTTGCAATCAAGGTTGGAAATCCCAAAACGGCGCATTCAGATCAGGCTATTTGCACCACTTGGAGAAGACTTTAACAGATGCACTAAGTGGAAATGACCTACGTGCCACTCCACACATTGAGTTGAAGATTAAAAATTGGAAGAAAACCTACAATACACTCGTCACCATGCCTAGCACGTCAGGGTTTGGGTGGAACGACGCAGAACATAAGATAGATGTTGAAGGGGACGATGTTTGGGCTGAGTATGTCAAGGTACTACTTTCCAACCCCACTACTATCGTCCTTAAGTCATTCATTAATAGCTTTTTATTTTCCAGAAAAGATAGCAATGCGAAAGGAATGCGTGAGAAAAGCTGGTCTTACTACAATGGCTGGAGCATAATTTTTGGAAAAGATCGTGCAACGGGCGAGTATGCCAAAGATTTAGAAGAGATGATTGGGGGTAATGATGCGGGAGTTCAGGTGCATGATACTGAGGATGCCGCAGACACTGACGTAAATATGGCAGACACTAGAACGTCTAAAAGCAAGCCTCAACATGGTGTGGTTGGACAGGGGGACACACCCACAAGTCGTAAACAATGGAGGAAGACAACTGGTGAAGCATCTGATGGAATTGCACGCAACATAAATAAAATGACGGACATACTTGGTGACTATGTATCAAGTTGTGGAAAACAACTCTCAAACATTGCTCAGAGGGTCGGTTACAAGTAAAGATGCTACTGAGGCGAGGTGTTAATTGAACGTAGAATTGACAAAAATCGATGGCCTAACGATGGGTCACCGACACAGGACGACTTACAAGATTTCTAGTGACCCGATTAAGGTGGACCTCTTCTNTGATTGGGGGTAATGATGCGGGAGTTCAGGTGCATGATACTGAGGATGCCGCAGACACTGACGTAAATATGGCAGACACTAGAACGTCTAAAAGCAAGCCTCAACATGGTGTGGTTGGACAGGGGGACACACCCACAAGTCGTAAACAATGGAGGAAGACAACTGGTGAAGCATCTGATGGAATTGCTCGCAACATAAATAAAATGATGGACATACTTGGTGACTATGTATCAAGTTGTGGAAAACAACTCTCAAACATTGCTCAGAGGGTCGGTTACAAGTAAGATGCTACTGAGGCGAGGTGTTAATTGAACGTAGAATTGACAAAAATCGATGGCCTAACGATGGATCACCGACACAGGACGACTTACAAGATTTCTAGTGACCCGATTAAGGTGGACCTCTTCATGAGCTTGCCAGAAAATGAGAGACCAGCATGGCTTCTTGGCGTGGTATGCGATAATGCATCTGTGATGGACAATTAGTACTTATCCTTACTCGCCTGTTTTGGAATCTTTTCAACAATGTTAAGTATTCTCCTCTTCATTGTTATTCCTATGTTGTGTGTGAAAGTAGTATTTAGACAATGTAGAAGTATCATTTGGCTATTGATGTCATCAAAATGCATTTCTTTATGCTTATTATGCTTTGGGTATTTAATATTTGTGTTTTAAAACTGTAGTGAATTTCTTGTGTTATTCACATTTCACAATAGTCATGATTTCAATAACAAGAATGAAAATGGGTTTGAAAAAGAAATGGTATGTTGTGTTTAATGGCCGAAGGGTAGGAATTGTTGATACTCGGCAAGAATGCCATGACCTTGTCATTGGATATCCTAGCGTTTTTTACAAATCATTTTTGTCATACGTAATTATACAAGAGGCCTTAGCAGAACACGTTTCCACTATAGTGATGGATCAAAATAAAAATTCAATGCATACATAGGAAGACAACGCTGTGAATGATCCATGACCCGCTAGAGCATGTGAACGAATTCTCATGCCACACGAAATGTTCGGAAGAAAACCCTCTTTAGAAATTCTACCAACCCCACAAAATGGAATTATGTTCGTTGTAGTAGCATTCATATTGAGTTTCATAATTTGCAATATTTTGACCTCATTTATGTGGAAATTTGTTTGACGGAACGATCATGTTCGATGATCATGTTTCTTGAAACTTTTTTGATCAACTTATGCTATGTTTGTAATTTATATATTCACTTTTATGGATTGGTATCATTAAACTAATGTACAAATTTTTGTTACGTTATTAACTAATTTCTTGCGCATTCATTTTGTAACAGATATTATTATCGGACCATGGTTAAAAGAAATGCGATGATTAAGAATAACACAAGATGAATAAGATGTTCTGTTGGATTGCCTTATGGACCTTAAGTTGGAGAGGCGCATTGCCAACAAGGGTGAATTCCTTGAAGGAGGCTGGAGTCGTCTGTGGGAGATGTTAAGTGAACGTTGGCAAGCACCACAATTAACTCTAGGACTAGTGATGGAAGTAGTTATTTTTTGGAAGAGACGTCATTTCACAATGAAAGATATAGAGGCTTCGGGGTTGTTCCATTGGAACAATCAAGAGTAAGTTCTTTTCCCAATCAACTCGGCAAGAGTGTCTTTTTTAGAGGTTTATTTTTTGTTAGGTTTTTACGTATGTATATTACTATATGAATTATTATATAGATGTGTTCATAAATCCAATGTGTCATTTTTTGTAGGATAACACCTTCGCATCTTGAGCGTGTGTGCAGACTTGTCCCAATTACGAGATCTTCACAGAAATATTCGGGCCACATGAGGAAGACGGAAATATATCAACAATTTTCAGTGCTGGCTCCACTTCAGTCATGTCTCCATATAGGCTTACTATGGATTTGGTTATCATCGATGATTAATGTCATCAATAGATGTGAGCATTTTGTAACCAATATAATGATGTTTAATATAGTGTAACGAAAATATGTCCATCCGATTTTATGTATTTGGGAAGAGCAATGATACATGGACTTAAAAAGTAGATTTAAGAATTAGACTTGATAATTACAACTATTAATTTCACTGTGGGTCTCAGCATTTATTGAGACTCACTGNTACATTCATTCCCTGTGAACCCTTCTTCCCCTAATTCCTTCCATTCTACTAATGAATTGAAGTTACAGATTAGAATAACTCGATAAATTTTGATTGAATTCTGATCCAAAGACGAAAAAAAGGATCGAATAATCATTCTATGATGAAAATAGAATAACCGCCTTTTTGTGTTGTGTGCATAGGAGGTATACACTATACTATACAATCAAATAGAAAATTTTTGTTACCTATTCCATTAGGAACCGCAGATTTTTTGGTCCATCACATTCATGCATTTACGATTCATGTAACGGTATTGATACTCCTAAAAGGTGTTCTATTTGCTCGACCATATAATAGTTCTGTTGGAGGTTGAGTGGCTTTGTCACCAATTTTCACTTGGGGGCTAAGTTATAAAAATACAAAACTAATGNTCATCAATAGATGTGAGCATTTTGTAACCAATATAATGATGTTTAATATAGTGTAACGAAAATATGTCCATCCGATTTTATGTATTTGGGAAGAGCAATGATACATGGACTTAAAAAGTAGATTTAAGAATTAGACTTGATAATTACAACCATTAATTTCACTGTGGGTCTCAGCATTTATTGAGACTCACTACCTATTCAATGGTTGAGATTATCAAGTCTAGTTTTTAAGTCCATCTAACATTATTCATTTGGGAATGAACAAGTTTTTTGTGTATCCCCGTATATGTAAATGTTAGAGTGTTGCACTATCTTGTTGAGTTAATGCTTTATTGCGCTTTATTATGGTTATGAATAATAGTTATATTTTATCAACATTCATGTTTTTTTTTCATAAGTTAGAAAGAAAAAATAATCAAATATTAAAACTATAAGGACACAAGAAAATGTACGTATACAAACATGAGTTTGAATTATATTGGTTAAAGGATACAATAGTCATTTATATACAAATATATTATCATAATGGGGATATATACGTGCGCATATTAAACATGGGTATGGACAGGATTGAATGTTGAATTCTATCTTTGTAAAGAGGAGTTTGAGTTTGGAAGGGGTTGGACAAGCAAATCCAAACCCTTCCCAAAAAACCAACCAAACAGGTCCTTAGAGGTCTACATATAGAGATGTAAAGCTTTAATTTAATGGAGATAAAGAGATATTTTCAGAAAATTTAAGCAATTGAGTCGTGTGATGCAATTCTAACCTAGTTGTGATACTCAAGGAACCTAGGAGTGATTCATAGACAAATTTACTATTCACTTCTTGTTCACAGCCTTGTTAATGTTCACGGGTACTATTCACAACCCCAAACAATACCGCTTTTGATTTTACACTGCTGTCATACATCATTATTATATTATANCAACCCCAAACAATACCGCTTTTGATTTTACACTGCTGTCATACATCATTATTATATCTTAATTTGTTAATTGTCGGACTCTTATATGTTTCCATGTATTTTCACTTTATTTGTCAATGCCTAGTAATTTTGTTCTGGATATATGTGACTCGATGGTGTGATCCAGTTGGAACTCCTATATCATTATTGTAATCTTGATTTGCTGATTTTCTACATCTGTGCCTCTAATATGTTTTCATGTATCTCGTACTTGACTTATTGATGTCGGATAAGTTTTTGCCTATTCCGCAATAGACATTCGCATATGCTTTTATATTTTTTTCTTGTGCAAGTTGTAGAAAGACCTTTTGGAATACTTGATGATATGTCATTGAGTCTATAGTTGCACTGTCATTCAAAATTTTCAAATTCAAGATTCATGTTGGTTGGCATCTTCAAGAGAAGTAGCTTCCTTTCCCATGTTTGTTCAGGTTTTTTGGTATCTATTCTTCCCTAATTTAGTGTATGCCTATAGGTTTTAGATGATCAGAAAACCAATGCTATTAAGTTCTCTTTAACTAGTGATGTACTANGGTTGGCATCTTCAAGAGAAGTAGCTTCCTTTCCCATGTTTGTTCAGGTTTTTTGGTGTCTATTCTTCCCTAATTTAGTGTATGCCTATAGGTTTTAGATGATCAGAAAACCAATGCTATTAAGCTCTCTTTAACTAGTGATGTACTAAAATTTGAGCATGGGCTCCATTAGAAACCACATTAGACCAAAACATGAGGCATTACTATATTAAAAAAAAATTAAATTTCAAGTGTGTAAAAGTGGAATCAATAATACCATTATGATAATGCAGCATCGTTTGATCGCTTTTTTTTTGTCTCATGTTTGGTCAATATTGCATTACTTTTTAATTAATTAACTTAAAGTTACTTTAGGTAACTCTACATTTAGTAGGATTTAGTTCAATTAACAGTTACCATATAATAGTTCTGTTGGAGGTTGAGTGGCTTTGTCACCAATTTTCACTTGGGGGCTAAGTTATAAAAATACAAAACTAATTTTGCCGGCAATGAGATGTAACTAACATATGTACTTATTTGCTTGATAAAGATCGAAAAAGGATTGGATGAGCTTAAATTAAATAATTAAATTTTGTTATTTGTTTTAGTATTATTATATTAATTAAGAAATATTTGTTTGACTAAGAAAATTAATTAGAGTGTGATATAATAAAAATTGTTTCTCTATTGGGAATTTTGTGTGTTTTTCTGTTGACAATTTTGTGTTTCTTGAACTAATCCTTGCGAGAGTTTGGCATCTCTCCTTTTCTATTCTCTTATTTCTTCCTCTTTCGTCCTTGTGATGACCCGAATATAAAATAAATTGTTGACATGATAATTAGGTCGTTTAATTATGATTCTAAATAATCAATGATTATTTTTTGAAATTTTAAATAAATAAAAGGATCTCAACTATGAATTCATTGTGTAAAAATGAGTTAAATGACTATAATATGTCATACTCTATGTTAAAATAAAAATGACAGAGCTTCTAAATGATATGTCTGTGGAGAGTGCTATGTCTGTGGAGAGTGCCCCTAGGGCAGATGGCTTTTCTGGAAAAAATTTTCAGGTGACCTGGGAGATGATAAAAATGGACCTTCTTTCAGCTGTGAATTTCTTTTTAAGGGGTGGTGTGGTGCCTAGATCTATGAATGCTACCCTGTTAGTTCTAATTCCAAAGATTGGTAACCCAACTTCATTTACAGAGTTTAGGCCAATAAGCTTGTGTAATTTTTTGTACAAGATATTGACTAAGATTTTGTCAAATAGATTGGCTACTTTGCTGCCTTCTTTAATCTCTGATGCTCAACATGGGTTTGTGAAAGGAAGAGGAATTGGAGATTGTATTATGCTAGCCCAGNTAAAAAAAAAAAAGATATGGACCTTCTATTCAATCAAATTCTTCCTTTTTGACAGGAATCGATAAGAAATAAGAAAGATTGAAAC